TTTAATTTTATCATTGCTCTCAGTAGAAAGGAATACAATGCATTTTGGAAGGAAAAAAAAACAATGTTACAAAAAGTTTCCTATTATGAATTGTCAGATTAACTCATAATGCTTAAATGTAGTGATTTATTCGTTCATTATTATTTGTTTCTCGATACATATATTCAATAAAAAATTAGTCGTCAGTATCTGAAATGAGAAAGAGTCTCTTACAGATTATCAAATCATGCTATGAGACAAGGTCTAACTTGAATTTTCTCTGCTTGTATTTATGCACCAGTATCAAGAAACAGCTAGGATTTTATGCTACTGTAAACACTAGTGCATCTCCATTTTTCAATAACTAAGCTTCAAAAACAAGATATTGTTATCCTTTCATAAATGAACATTTTCCTTTCCCATACCTTTCTATTTTCACATGAATAACATTTATAATCTTTTTGCTAAATCAGAATGAATTGAATTAAACTGGCAATACAGTGAAATCGTGTTTGACTCGTTCTTCTAATATCCATTAATTCTGTTGCTCAGGAATCCAAGCTCACACTTGACTTAACATGAACCTTAAAATTCTCAACATTTGGCAATGACAATGAATTTTAAATTACTACACCAAAGGGGGGAAAACACTAACATTATTTATGTGATCTGTTCTTTAGACGAAGCATGCAGGAAGTGAACACCAACTCCAGTGCCTGGTCAGAGACTTACCCCTGCTGTCTTCCCAGACCCAGTCTGGGCAATCCCCACCACATCTCTTCCTGACATAGCTACTGGCCAACTTACAGTCTGGATACAAGTTGGCCTTGTCCATCCCAAACGCCGAAATGTGGACATCACATAATCTACATATACATGTAAGCCTAACATATCATAAATGCTTGATTAATGGCTTGACCACGCTTGTGTATACTGAACTAACACATCAGAATTTCAGTGGTACTTTCATTAAAGAAACCCCTTCCAACCCCCCACCCCCCCAATCATTCGATTTTACACTTCTCACACAATAATTATTTGAATAATCCAATTACACACATTTTATCAGACATGTTTGTCATATGATACAGCAAGCAGTGACCTTGAGCCCTTCTCTGTCCTTGGTTGACTGCACACTTACCCCTGCAGTTTTACCAGAGCCAGTCTGGGCAATGCCAACACAATCCCTTCCTGACAGTGCAACAGGCCAACTGACAGTTTGGATCGGTGTAGGACATGACCAGTTCTGTCTTCTAATAGAGGACATCACATACTCTAAACAGATTAATACACATTAAAAAAATACTTGAAAAGACTGGTTAAACTTCAGTTGTATTTTAAGAATAATTTATCATGAAAATACCTCCAGAAGATTCTTTGCTGAAAAACAACATATGACTGTTGAATTAAAATCTGCTATACTCCTTGTAAATTATTTATTACCTGGGAATCCTCCTTCATCAAATGTGAAAATTGGTTTTGGAATATTTAATCCCTTGACTGTGACTTCATGTTCATTATAAAATTGTTCAATTTCCATCTGCAATAAAGTTTATAATTTATCAATACTGCTGTGTGTTTATTTCATTTATTAAACTTTAGAATAGTATACCAAATATTGAAATTACTGAGGACAAGGATTATAGCTGATTATTATTCAAATAATTGTTGATACCAATGTTCTATGCATAAAAAAATTAGGATTATACAACTGGAATGTTGCAAATTCTCTTCTTCCATCACAAATGAAATTGGCTTTTCTGTAAAATCAACTAAGTATTCTATTCCTACTATTTTGACATGAAAGAATTCTTAATTTTTACAAGTTCAGCACATAAAAATGGGTGTTACTTTTTGTTGGATGTGTTTTTGTTGCATAATGTACATCCCTCTTAAGAAAATAGTGCACATCATATATGATAGACAGTTATGTTAAAAACAATCATTGCATAGTGGAATACTAACCTGTGATCTGTTGGATACATTTGGATGTTCCACATAAAAATTCTTCTCAAACTTTGGCAATCTTGACAGGTCCCACCTTGGCTTGCGTAGATTTTCTCCTGGTTGATGACCTTTACCCATTTTACCTCCTCGCATTCCACCTCGGTCCATTCCAAATCTTCCTCCTCCCCCACTTCTAGGGCCTCCTCTATCTCCAAACTTTGATGAACCAAAGGCTTTAGGCAAGCCACTACCACCTCCAAATCTGAAATGGTGGTTGCAATTATACCATTCTCGCAAATGTACTTAGTGAAATCAGAATATTCAATCATCTGCATTTTTTTTCTCTTTAAATCCAACCAAGTGAAACTGCTATATCATTAAACACTGAATTGTCTTTCACTGATCATACAAAATTACAAATGCAACAAAGGTTTCTGTATGCCCCGATCTTTCTTGAAAAACAAAACTGACAAGGATACTAATAATTTACATCTGCACATAAGGATGTAAATATGATAAAAATACAAATCCATCAGATCTGATAATTTAAAATATGGAATGTTGAATAATTGACCGACATTAAAATAAAAGAGTAAAGGACTACAGTGTCATTGAATGAATATTGTGCAAGGGCACCTGAACTTTTCTCAACAAGTTGCAAATAGAAGCCTAAGACTACAAGATTTAGTGATAGAAAAAAACGCATGGAAATGGCAGGGCTATGCAAATTGGTAGGCGTGAATTACACTCAATATGAAAATGAAATATCTTGAGCATAAATTCAAAATGATTTACACTGAGGAAAATTATGTGCATTCTTTGTTTAAACTTCTAATCATATTTCCGGCACTTTCTAACACTAATAAAATCCAGAGAGGTAATCAAAAGTTCGCGTGGAGCATTGATAGGATAAAGTAGCACTAAATCCTTATTAATACTATAAGTTTTTATTGTTAAAGTACCAATATAATTTATAGGAGTGAAACGGTTCACCGCGGTATCAATTCACTGCGGTATTTTTTCTCAGTTTGATACACAGTGCAAAATCTCTAATTTTCGGTTCGGTTCATTTTTCGGTCGGGATCGTTATTCAGTCGGGTTTGGCGTAAGTTAAAACACGTTACTCAGTATAAATAAGTATAGAAAATGTAAATTTTTGATGAATGATAGTTTGTAAAATAATTTTTGACAGTCAAATAATTCTAATCAATTTCTTCTTGTAAATTTGCAAATAAAAATTCGTAAATTAAGTGACTAGATTTAGTAAAAGAAAGCATAAAACAAGGTTGAATTTGATTCCTTCTATCAAAATGTATTGTATCAAAAATAACCGTACCGAGACAAAATTATACAATATGTATTGAACCGTGAAGGAGGTTGCATCCTTTCATCCTTAATAATTTAACCAACAAAGTAAACATTGAAGTATAAATCATGTTATCAAATATTTGATTGCTATTTTCCATTCGAATATTCGCCATTTACTATTCATTTGCCAATATTCAAACATTCGTTTCAGCTCTAGTTGCACCAGAAAAAAGGTTAGAAACATTGACTGATGTGAAGTATACCATGTGTTGTTGTTAGTTTTACTTAATACAGCACCAGAGCAGAATTTGCCACAATCTGCTTTGGGTGTCGGGTGGTTACGTTCCGATTCCGTGTTCGACCCGCGTGGTTACGACCCAAGTGGTTTCGACCTACTCTAATATATATCCCAACATGTCAATACCTGAGTACAGGGATATACACTGTGCGGTAAACAAATGGATAGGCCTATTCGGTAGCTGTATATTGTATGGCTTCAGAGATGTGCGTGTCAATAGGTAGTTGTTTTCGTATATGTAGTCAACATGCAGTGAGGTTTCCTAACATTTTTTTCTACTATCGCAGAGCATGGATGTTGATAAATTTGATTTAGTAATGAATTATATTTGAACAGTTTTCCATAAAAAATAATCAAATACTTCTTCAAATGTACCGTGAACACATATGCACTGTCTAAACAATGTACGTTTCTCCAAATTAAATTTACATACGATAATTAACACAAATATACGTGGTCGATATAAAAAAAAATGTAGACGAAAATATAAAATGTTAAACTGTTGAAAGTGTTAATTAATTAATTTCGTTCCGAAGCAATTAATTGCTTTGGAACGAAACCACTCGGGTCGAACATGGATTCGTGTCGAAACCACGCGGGTCGAACAAGTAATCGGAACGTAACCACCCGCATTCCTGCTTTGCACGCCCTTTGCTTCACTTGTGAAGCTCATTATTGTAAAACATTGTTTAAAACATAACAAAAGCAACATCTTCTTAAAGAAATGCTGAAATTAAATTGGGGGAGCCAAGAAGGATATGGGAATATTTATTTTTTTGATTCAATTAACTGAAACAGCGAATGTTTCTTGGTGAACAGACTTTGTGGTTAGTTGAACCAAATTTGCCCATTTCACATGACATTTTAAAAAAAGCACCTTGTTGTAAAACTTTCAAAACCTATATATTTGATCAATGTCAATACAGAGTAATACTTTTCAAGATTTTAACAGTACAAATACTTTAAATCCTGAATCAACAAAAATAAAAATTATTCAAAATGGCCACGTTTATAGACCTCTTTGTCAATACTTAAAAGCCTCTCTCTGTTCTTTAACGCCTTTAGAAACTGTACAGACAAAAAACTGTTTACCCTTTTCTGTCTGACCGACCAGAAGAATCGAACATTCTGTCTCTATAAGACATCTTGAGTTTCGTCGAAGGATATTTTTCTCTCTCAACCACGGCCCAAACTATCACGATGCCGGAAATAAGTATTAAAGCGCATGACGTCATTGATAGACTTTACATTTTCAGTGGAAAATGAATATATGCTTTTAAATATTAACTAGGAAAAAAAATAATAGATTTAGTTTTAGTTAAAAAAATTGATGTAAATACAATTCTAAACATTAAAGATAAATCAAACTTTGTACTACATTTTACATCGGATGTACCCACGATTCAATTTACCGTAATTTCCGCTAGGTGGATTTAGATCTGTCATGTGACTGGAATAGTTGGTCAAAATGGCAGCGGCGATAATTTTGGCTGTAGCTATTATACTTTTTACAGCATGGGTAATTAAAAGAGAGTTATCAAGGAAAAAGATTGATATAATTCCAGGTCCAGTAGCCTTACCAATTCTTGGAAATGCTCACCAGCTAAAACATACCAGCAGAGGTATCACTTAATATATGAAGAGTTCAAGTTTTAAACTATCACTGTGCGAAATTGCAACTTTTTGTGCATACTGAAAAAACACATTTAAGAAAAAAGGGTGATGAAATAGCTAAACAGTCAAACTTCGTTATCTCGAACTCAATACGACCGAGAAAAAAATTTGAGATATTGGAGGATTCAAGATATCAGTTAAAATACTTAAAAAATAAGGGATTGTGACTTCCAAATCACTACCACATATACATGGTATTTGAGGTATCAGTGTTCGAGATAAAAAAGTTTTAACTGTATTATGAATGGCTTAATAAAGCTTTATTGCTAATTCAAGCTATACAGCTAAATCAAGAGATTTTGCCGGACCTGTTTTACTCATCAACCATGTCAATTATCTTACATACATTACACTAGATAGAACGTTCTATCATTAAAATGATATTGTCCTACGGACCCGGTTTAACGATAGAATTCGTTCCGTATATTGGCAATGTTGCAAAATAAACACGGGCGATAACTCGAACTCTGTGCATTTTCTATGAACAATCCAGAGAGTTCCGAATGTCAACATGTCGTTAAATTTGAAGCAAGGAAAAAACGTTGAGAGAATGAGTTCAATTTTCGGATTTATATGGATTATTTTTTAGGTTAAAAGGCATATACAATCTCAAAAAGGTTTGTTATGATTAATTTGGTAGTTATTTTCAGTGCAATTCCTTTTTTATTCTTCAAAATCATTTCAGAGTGGATCCACTCCGATTTGCTACATTGCAAGTATATGGGACGTATTCTAACTGTGGTGAGGGCTTGTCCCGAGGCACAGTTAGATTATTCTAACTAACATTACACACATCTGGCATAATCCTTTTAGCTATCAAGTTTGGAAAGCTGAGTAGCTTATTGGCTATTCCAAAGAGCTTGATTAGACTTGTCTCATGGATTTTTTTTTCTCTCATTTTCTCGTCATTATCATTTAATTTAATATTTTAAACCTTTTAGATATATCCAGGGTCATTTTAAATTGTAAACATTGTGAAAAACAATCATTCATACAGTACAAAATATCACACAGGTAGGATATTCATCTCTGTATTATAATAACCAATATGCTAGAAGCTAGCAAGAATTTCTTTACCCTCTCAGTGTAGTTATATGTTTTTGTAGAATATTTATTAAAATCAAAATACTGACAAATATTCACTACCACCATTATTTCAAGCCCCTTTAATCAAAGATTCGGGAGCATATACTGTACAGCAGGTTAAAATCGCGATCGGAAAAGATTTATCCTTATAAATTTTGGAAGAATTATTCACTGTATGTTGAATTTGCGGAATTTTTATTTCTGCAAATATAGCGAATATTAACTCCACGGGTTAATTTCCTGCTGTACAGTAGTTTTTGGACAGTCCATTTGTTTGCAAAAACTAATTTTGCCCATACAGTATTACTTTTAAATGGTCAGGTGCTAGGGCTATCTTATTTTACATGTGTATTCCTTATGACAAGATCTTTTCATTAAATACCAACATTTTTGACCTTATGACTTTGACCTTTGAGCTTAACCTATTTTTTGAAAAATTTAAACCACCTTTTACCTTGGCCATAACACCCATAACATCGGGGGGGGGGGGGGGGGGGGGGGGGGGCAGACCCCTCCCCCCTGGAATTTCCAGAGTTATTAAAAGTATATACTGAACGAAATAAAAAGTGACTTTGGACCCCTCTAGAAAATGTTGACTTCCCACCAACATCGCCACAAAAAAGTTTTTTTCACGTTTGGGAATGGACATTACATCTTTTTTTTTCTTTGCTTGTCAAGAAATTTTCAGGGTTTGATACGACTGAGAAAGGATTTTAGTTTGTTTTTTTTTTATTTGTCAAGAAATTTTCTGGGTTGGAAGTTTTTTGACTGGGTGGAAACACCCCCTACCCCCACCCCTGGAAAAAATTCCTTGGATCTGAGCCTGACATCTGACATTTGTATGTCTTATGTGATTTCCCTGTGACAGGACCTTCTTTGTGTAAAAACATTTTTTTTACCTCATGAGTTCAACCTACTTTTGAAAAATTTTAACCTTGCCCATAACATCTGAATTGTGGTGCTAGGCCTTTCATATTTCACATGTACTGGGGTATATTTCTTGTGACAAGACCTTTCTTTGGGTAAAAACATTTTTTTTTACCTCAACACCTAACCATGGAGTTTGACCTACTTTTGAAAAACTTTAACCTTGCCCATAACTTCTGAACAATTGTAGTTATTGTACTTGTGTATTTCTAGTGACAAGGCCTTTCTTTTTGTACCAACATTTTTGACCTCAACACCTTGACCTTGGAGTTAGACCTACTTTTGTAATACCTTAAATTTTGCCCATAACTTTTTTTTTGTACCAACATTTTTGAACTTGGAGTTTGGCCTACTTTTGAAAAAAAAAAATTCTTTAACATTGGCCTTTAGCTGCCATGCAGGGGCATCAGTGTTTCATAAACACTTCATGTTTTATATAGTCTTTTGTACTTACTTTTTTTTAATTTTTTTTCTTCCTAAGTGTTTTACTGAAAAATAAAAATTGTTAGAAAAAAAATGCATTTAAAAAAAAGAAATCAAGATTTTTGTGTGTATTGTATAAAAGGCTAATGCAGCTTATTGAAGCACTATAGGTTATAAGACACTTCAATGTAAAAGCCTAGGTTTACTAAAGCAGTTTCAGACAGACAATAAAACTTTGTAGATGTTTACTCGGAGCCATTAAAGGAGCACATTTAGAACATTATAAAGTGGAAACCAAGAAGAATCAGTGAATGAGGTCATATTTCATGTTGTTGAAGAAAATAACAGAAATTGGGAATTTGAGATCAAGTTCATCAAAGCTGATTTTTTTTTTTGTATTTGAAATTTTTAGATTAGGATATACTTGTATGTGACATAATCCTTTACAGCCCTCCAGAAAATGTGTAGCCCACAAAATGAGGAAAAGATGCAATCCTACCATGTAATAATGTTTTTTTTAACAGAATTCTTTGACCAGCTGACTCAGTTCACTGCTGATTATGCCAATTATGGAATATTTCGACTGCTGTTGGGAACAAAGTTAACAGTTGCTCTGTACAAGCCTGAGTATGTAGAGGTGTGTTAATTATTACTGGAACAACCACAGAGTGGGATTTCACATCAATAGCATCACTGCCCTGTTTATTTACAAAATATTGTAAAAGATTTCTTATAAATCATGATATTTGATAGTGTGATTAAAAATTGATTTTTTTTCACATATTTAAAGGAAGAGATTTCAAGCACCTCCTTTAGAAATACCTGGTCTGTGTACCCCTGTGAATCAAGTGCCTTTAGGCCCATCGTTGGGTACTAGGACTTGATTGACATTTACTTACTAGTCTCTGTGTATACCCTGTACACCTTATTTGGCACTTGTGGTGGACTTCAGATTTAAAACTTTTGATCCTTTGATATTTTATACCACTCATGGTATAAAGAAGCTGTATTACTTTGAACATTTTTAGCTTGATAATGTATAATTAATATTTATACCTTTAGTTTTTGAAATAATTATAATATTCTTCATGATAATAAATCAAACGTTAGTTTAATAACTTTTTTCAAAGTAATTTTCGATTTTGATTCAATATTAAGAACACACGACCACAGGTAGACTGCTAGCCCTCAAGGCATTCACATCTGTACATAATAAGCCCCTAGAGTCCCTCACCTGGAATTTACCAGTAACCACCCAGTAAAAAATCTCTGCCTTTAAGAAAAATATGGGGCCATTGATGCTTATGATGTTAAATATGGCACCTGTGGTCATATTTCATTGCAGACAGCAGCAGGGTTTTAGAAAAATGTGAAGCAAGAGGGTAAGCATACACATTAAAAGCTAAGGTTGAAGTACATTAAAGTGCTGACATTTTAAGTATTGTTGATTTCAGGGTTTTATGATCAGATGGAAGGGTATATGAAGTTTTACGAGGCTAGGGGAATATTTCGACTTTGGCTTGGATTTATAGGATTGATCATAGTTTACAAACCAGAGTATGCTGAGGTTTGTTATCACCTCTATTTTTTTAAAAAATCTTTTTATCCCTAGTTGAGGACAGTGCCTGTATGTATACTTTACTTGCTAATTTTTACTATTTTCTGCTAACTCCATTCTTTAATTGTGATATTTTTTTTTACTTGTTTGAATTTATATAACAGTTAAAAGAAAAGAAAAAAATTTCCTATTACATCTTACAAAAAACATTTTGAAAGAAATTGAATTTACATAAATCCTAGCACTAGTACTTACATTTAACCCATCTTTAAGTGAAGTTTGAATACTATTCAAAGATAAAAATTGAAAGTTAATTTAGAGGAAAGGACATTTTAAATTATTTTTTTAAAAAATTCTGTAAATGCATGTATACCTATCATTTTCTTTATTGAAATATAGTTTTTGATCTTTTTTCCAGTCAGGAAATTCATTTTGTTTACATGTATTTGGATAAAAAGATTTGCTGTTTTGCCTTTATAATAATTACAACAATGTTATCTTTTTATTATAAAACAAAGGTAGCTCTTCAGTATTCAATAAATTCAGAAACTTTCTTAAGTGACATATCAAATTGCAGGGAACACAATCTTGAAGGATGGGCAAACTTAAATTCTGAATATTCAAATACACTTATTTTAAGCTATATTCCTTATTAAAATATCTATATAGTACATTCTTTAGATCCTTTTGGTTGTGGCTCCTAGTGCATTAAAAAATTGCTGTGGACTTACATAAGACATGGCTTAATACAAAGCATATTTTCAGGTGATTCTTCAGAGCAGTAAACATTTGGATAAAGCTGACGAGTATAGATTCCTCCATCCATGGCTAGGGACAGGTCTTCTAACTAGGTCAGTGAAAAAGACATCAGTGGGAAAATAAGTCTATAAAACAATCACAGTCCCCCCCCCCCCCCCCCCATAAATAAATAAATAAAATTGAATGATGCTTTAACCTGTAATATTTTCCTGACACAATGACCTGATTTCCATGCAAACAAAATGTGATTAACTTTCATATCATATCCAGGTATCTAATAATTTCAAAGACCAATGCTTAAGATGTGGACAGAGACAAAAATAGAACAATTATGTATTCCTGTTTTCAATATTGCATTGTGAGGTCCATTTTAGTGGTATAAGCATAACAGGATTCCATCTGACAAGTTGAAATGTCAAAATCTTAGAGTTAGATCTTATTTTTTGAAATAAATAAATGCCTCTGAACCCATAGTGTCACAGTATCAGAGATATATCTTATATGCAATAAGCTTCACCAGTACCTGATTGGCTTGCTGTTATTTGTACAGTTATACTTTCCAAGGATTTAGATAAAAATTTAAAAGTACCCAGTACGTATGTCAAATACCAAGCATACAACTGCAATTGCGCTTAAATAAAATGGGTATGTTAAATAGTTGTTCACCAATGCTCCAGAAAATATGAGCATTTTTATTTTGTATTTCTATAACATTCACACCATGTGATATGTTCTAGCACTGGGAGTAAATGGAAATCTCGTCGGAGGATGCTGACACCAACGTTCCATTTCAAGATTCTGAATGACTTTGTGGGTGTGTTCCATGATCAAGCCACCATCATGGTAAAGAAGCTCTCTGAGGTGGCCGATGGAAGAGAATTCAACATCTTCAATTACATCACCCTCTGTGCATTGGATATCATTTGTGGTATCTGACAATCTTACTTTCTTCCTCGGGACATGTAGTTTTGTTCTACTCACATTACTACAAACTTGTACTTTTGTTTAGTATGATTCATGCTTTTGGATCTAAATTTCATTAAAAAGTTAATTTCAAAGGCAAAGGTTTTATAAAATTGAAGTACTGTAACCCATTTACTTATGGATTCTTTTGTATAATATTCCATACAATGTACTACTAAAGCTTCTCTTTGACAGAGACTGCGATGGGAAGAACTGTTGATGCTCAGAGTAACAGCGAGTCAGACTATGTCAAGTCTGTCTACAAGTAAGTATTAAACATAAATTATACCCCCACAAACAAAGTATAGGGGGATATATTGGAATAACCATGTCAGCCTGTCTATCTGTAGACATATTTTGTTCAGAGTTTATCTCACAAACTATTGAATTTGTATTGTCAAACTTTGTAGAAATAATAAAATTTTTATAACTTTTTATTTAATTTTGACAAATTAATCTGAAAATACCAGGTGCACAAGTTCAAATGATATAACTATAAGATTTTTTGTACAGGAATTAGAGGAAAGAAATTCTTGTCTAAAATAACTTTAAAACCAAAAAGTTTTAGAGACTCATACTTGATGCAAAGGTAGCTTAAGACCAGAAGTATGTCTTGACTCTGTACCAAGGTCATTTTGAAAAGGTCAAGGTCACAGGTACATAATTATTTAATTATTGTTCTAGCCCCAACTTTGATATTGAGAAACCTTAGAAACTGATATGAGACAAAGGATTCTAGGTAATTTGGACAAGGTCATGGTTACTGGCTTTAGAAATATAAAATTCATGATTTGGCCATAACTTTGTTTTTGAGAAAAAATATTAGTAGATTACATTTACACTAAGCACAAAGGTTGCTTGTGACCAGAGGGTGTGTAACAACCCTGCACCTTATCCATTTGGACAAGGTCACTAGATATTAAGTGTAAATTTATTGTCAACAACATAACTTGGTAATGAAATAACTATAGAAGATCATACTTCCCTTCAGTGTTAATTATGATCGTAAGATATGTCATGACCCTGAACAAAGGTCAAGGTCAGGGAGTTCAGAAGTACAATTTAATGCTTGGACTTGATGGTTATATTTTTTGTACTCAAAACCAAGATAGGTGTTAGAAATTTCTACAAATATATCTCAACAAGATTCAGGCCATGGAAATTCACAGTAGATTAATTTTACCCCCTACTTGAAAAGCGGGGGATGTATAGTGAGAGGGGTGTCCATCTGTCTGTACGTCCATCTGTTTTGCTTTGGGGTACCCATCTCTTGTCCGCAACTCCTCTTGTACCACGAAATGAAATTTAATGAGACTTTCACAGAATCTTTGTTACATAGTGCCATTGTGCACCTCTTATTTTACTTTTTGATCAGACACATATTTCGGGTTAGATTTCCAATAGCAAAACATGGACACTGCCATTCTTTCTATAATATGGAGAGGGTACCCATCTCTTATCCGCAACTCCTCCTATACCACTGAATAAAATTTAATGATACTTTCACAGAATCTTTATTACATAATGCCATTGTGCACCTCCTATTTTACTTGATGATCTGACACTTATTTTGGGTCTCCCATAGCAAAACATGGACTTTGCCATTATAGTCATATGGTAGGCGGGAGGTATCATTTTGTGAGCTCAGTGCTCACAGTACCTCTAGTTTTTATTGAGATGGCAGAGTTATTTTTTAAAGCTACTTTTGTCTTAGCCCTGAAGGGGCATTACTGCTATTAGGACAGCTCTTATTGTTTGTGATGATCATTTTGTTAATTGCTAATATTATATATATAATCTGATTTTACCTTTACACTTGTGTATATATACCGGTACTTGCTTGAGCTTATTATAGTTATCATTATGATAACCACCACACTTGTTTGTGAAAGGGTGATGGAGCTAGTCATATACTTTTGCACATTTTTATATATACTTGCTTGAGCTTAAAGTCAGCCTCAGGATAATTCTGACCTTTGTTGTGATAGGATGACTGAGCTAGTCTTACAGAGACAGCGGACACCCTGGTACTGGCCTGACTTCCTCTACAACACTATTGGATATGGAAAGGAGCATGATAGATGTCTTCAGATTCTCCATGGATTTACTAAAAAGGTGGCTTTATTAACAGTGTATATGTACATGTATTTACTTAACAGTATATGTTTAACTACATATATATAATCTGTACTTTCAACTCATTTACCTGTATTTATGTTGGTAACATATGACCAAAACCTTTTTTGAATCACACAATTTTAAAACATTTATGACATTAAATAGTCAAAAATAGAAAGAAACTTTCTGGTATATAAATACCACAGTACAGTAAAACTCGGTTATAGCAAATTCCTGGAGACCTGGTAATTTACTTTACTATATCCATAGTTCATTATAACTGTGTAACGAATTTGTTATAGTATATATAGCAAATTCACAATATATATGTTTTCTTCAAATATGACTACCGAATATGCTGGGGGAGGTTTTAAATACAAAACTTGTTATATCTGTAAATTCACTATATTTCATACTACGGTAAATGTGTTTCCTTGTATATTGGAAACCTGTCTATTACACACTATGGTATTTCTAAAGCTTTTTGAAGTTAACAGGGCAGTATTTTTTTAACCAAAGCTCATTTTCTTTGTTATGAATGAAGGTAATCAAGGAGAAAATGGAGAGTCAGACTGAGGAATCGCGACACAGTATGGAGGAAATGCTGAGTCAGCACTCGGAGGAAGACATGTACAGGAGCAAAGGTCAGAGGTTAGCCTTCCTGGACATGCTGCTGTGTAAAACAGAAGATGGCTCCCAGCTGTCCATGGAGGATATCAGAGAGGAAGTGGACACATTCATGTTTGAGGTATATTTTAGATACAGTTGAACTTTGGTATCTCAAACACCGATATCTTGAATACCATGGATATGTTGAAGTGATTTGAAGGTCCCAACCCACTTATTCTTTAAGTATTTTACCCTTGATATCTTGAATCCTCACATATCTCAAAGTTTTTGCTCAGTCTCATCAAGTTTGAGATAACAAGGTTTGACATTATAACTTTCCTGGCAAATATTTTATGTTGTAAACAGTAGAAAATATCACCCAAGTAGCCATTTTCTAAAGAATAAAATTAAGAATAAAACTGTATGTAAGCTTTCTTTTCATTCTCTGAAGTAATTTTGTAAATATTTTCACATGAATGAGGAGAAAGACAAAAATTAAACTAACCATGACAATTGAAAGCAGATTAATCTGAACTTTTTAAATTGAAAATATCAGAGTGTCTGTTTTGGTCTAACAGTATTTTGTACAAGACTTCAGAGTATATTGTATAATATAAAATGATTAAAATGTTTTTCATGTTTTTAATGGTATGTAGGATGGATTTCTTATGCACATGTATTATGCATTTAATATTAGAATTTCTCTCTTACTTAATTGTTGAGATTGTAAAAATGTGATTCTTTTAAATAGCAACGGATTCACAATAAATTTTAAAAGTATGATTAAGAATAAAAAACTATGGTACAATTTACAAATATTTAATAGAACTATCTTCCAAAATAATGTTAAGCTTTTTTTTTTATTTAATAAAAAAAGAACCTTAAGGTCAAGATCTAGTAAATGAAAAGAGCCTACAGATTTCTCAAACTTGAGAAATAAATTCCTTTTATGATGCTTCATAACTATAGCTCGGTCAAATAAGGTGTATCTGGGCATAATTTGCAAGAAAACAAGACAAAAACCATCTTGTAAACTGTCATTTTCAATGAAAAATTAAGAAAGCCAGTCACGAATATGGGAGTTTTTTTCCATATCAGACGAAGGAAATGTATTCAGATTGCCTACAATCTCTCAGAAAATGGTAATTTGTATGTTCTTAGCCTTTTCTTTAAAATGATGTAAAATTGAATATAGGTATCGGGATTACTTTTCACATGATTTCAAATTGAATGCCATGAAAATACTTTATTTTCTACATAATTCTATCGAAGCTGTAAAGTACGGGAAAAGGAAAGTTTAAATTGATTATGACGTCATAATGGATCTAGCACCGAAAAGACGGTCTAAAGTCATTTACTAGATCTTGACCTTAAGTATTTCATCTGACAGTATTTGTTTTTTTATCAATATCAGGGGCATGATACAACAGCGGCAGCCATGAACTGGGCTGTCCATTTAATTGGTGCAGATCCCCAGGTTCAGGCTAAAGTCCATGAGGAAATGGACCAGGTATTTGGTGAGTTTATTTTAGATAGAAAACAAAGTATCTCTCTCATCTCCCTATATAAATACTAAACTATCATAATGTGTGCATTTTGAATGAGTTTGTTTATGATAATTAAAAAAAAAAGAAACATTTTGAAAATCATAAAGATAAGAGTAGGTTCTATTCTATTGTAGGGGACAGTGACAGGCCAGCTACAATGAATGATCTAAAGGAGATGAGGTATCTGGAATGCTGTATAAAGGTAAGGCTCTATAGAGTTCAGTCAGGTAAACTCAGGTCAATCTGGAGTGCTGTATAAAGGTAAGGCTCTAGAGAGTGAAGTCAGGTATATCTGGAGTGCTGTATATAGGTAAGGCACTACAGAGTTAAGTCAGGGACAGAGTTAAGTCAGGTAAACTCAGGTCAATCTGGAATGCTGTGTAAAGGTAAGACACTACAGAATTAAGTCAGGGACAGAGTTAAGTCAGGTAAACTCAGGTCAATCTGGAGTGCTGTATAAAGGTAAGGCTCTACAAAGTTAAGTCAGGTAAACTCAGGTCAATCTGGAGTGCTGTATAAAGGTAAGGCTCTACTGAGTTAAGTCAGGTACAGAGTTAAGTCAGGTAAACTCAGGTCAATCTAGAGTGCTGTATAAAGGTAAGGCACTACAGAGTTAAATCAGGGACAGAGTTTAGTCAGGTAAACTCAGGTCAATCTGGAGTGCTGTATAAAGGTAAGGCTCTACAGAGTTAAGTCAGGTAAACTCAGGTCAATCTGGAGTGCTGTGTCAAGGTAAGATACATACTATAGAATTAAGCAATTAAAATCAGGTAAATCTAGAGTGTTGTATAGAGGTATGCAGGACCAGTCCACACTACAGTGTTAACTCATATAAATTCAATAATGTTGGGTAAATCACATTGTGTTCACAATGGGTTATAGTTAGAGATGATGCATGAAAATCAGACAAGTCAAGTTTATCCTGATATCCATATTATTACAGTAAAACTCGGTTATAACGAAGTCACTAGGACCTGTGAAATTACTTCGCTATATCCGTGAATTCACAATATCCGTGTTCATACTAAACGAGTTTTACTCTATTACCCGTAAGCAACTTCAATGTATGTGATTATAAGATAGATTCTTGTATCATAATACAAGAATCTGAATTATTCATAACCACATACAGTATGTAGTGGCTAAGTTTTGTTTAGAATCAGTTGGGACATCATTATTTTACAAAAACACCATTAAAATTAATAATCATGATAATGTTTACCCAAAATAAGAACAGCATTTAAGACACACTGAAGATTAAGACATTGTAAGTTAACACAGTATATATTGGATCAAAATATGAACAGGATAGTTTATGTTTAAATATCTGGTAGATTTAACTTGAGCAATTGGAAGGCAATAGGTCTGGAGTGCTATATCAATACAACTGATGAATAACTGAGCAGCACTGATAATGGTAGAATAAAGCAATGTTAGACCATACTGATAAGGAAATTTTAAACTGAGTAGTACTGCTACAGCCATGGTAGACAAAGAAGTACTGATAAAATTATTAGGGCTGGGACGATACAACTTTTTATGTATCGATACGTATCCCGATATTTGAGCCACGATACGATATGTATCACGATATGTTTAATTGGTTATAAATTCTTTTTTTATATTGAAATGAACAAGATATTTCTTCACAAATAAGGATAATTTATTCAAAGAAGTTGTATATCTGTTGTAAAACTTAATTATTTTGGTCTTAATTATTATGTATTTCATATTCATATTTATATTAAGCATATTTATTTTACATATTAAACCCAAAATGTTAAGTTAACAAAGAAAAACATTAGTCAGAATTTTTTGGGAAATATGTCGATATTTCTTCATACGTATCGATATGCGTATCATCCTCACATTGAATCGATATTATCGATATCTCGATATATCGTCCCAGCCCTAAAAATTATGGTGGACTGAGAAGTATTGATAAAACAGTGGTAGACTAAGCAGTACTGACAAAGCTATGGTAGACTGAGCAGTACTGATAAAGTAATGGTAGACTGAGCAGTACTGATAAAGCTATGGTAGACTGATCAGTACTGATAAAGTAATGGTAGACTGAGCAGTACTGATAAAGCTATGGTAGACTGATCAGTACTGATAAAGCTATGGTAGACTGATCAGTACTGATAAAGTAATGGTAGACTGAGCAGTACTGATAAAGCTATGGTAGACTGATCAGTACTGATAAAGTAATGGTAGACTGAGCAGTACTGATAAAGTAATGGTAGACTGATCAGTACTGATAAAGCTATGGTAGACTGAGTAGTACTGATAAAGCTATGGTAGACTAAGCAGTACTGATAAAGCTGTGGTAGACTGAGTAGTACTGATAAAGCTATGGTAGACTGATCAGTACTGATAAAGCTATGGTAGACTGAGCAGTACTGATAAAGCTGTGGTAGACTGAGTAGTAATGATAAAGCTATGGTAGACTGAGCAGTACTGATAAAGCTATGGTAGACTGAGCAGTACTGATAAAATAATGTAGACTGAGCAGTACTGATAAAGTAATGGTAGACTGAGCAGTACTGATAAAGTAATGGTAGACTGAGCAGTACTGATAAAGTAATGGTAGACTGAGCAGTACTGATAAAGCTGTGGTAGACTGAGCAGTACTGATAAAGCTATGGTAGACTGAGCAGTACCGATAAAGCTATGGTAGACAGTGCAGTACCGATAAAGTAAAGGTAGACAGTGCAGTACTGATAAAGTAATGGTAGACTGTGCAGTACTGATAAAGTTATGGTAGACTGATCAGTACTGATAAAGTAATGGTAGACTGAGCAGTACTGATAAAGTAATGGTAGACTGAGCAGTACTGATAAAGTTATGGTAGACAGTGCAGTACTGATAACATAATGGTAGACTGAGCAGTACTGATAAAGCAATGGTAGACTGAGCAGTACTGATAAAGTAATGGTAGACTGAGCAGTACTAATAAAGTAATGGTAGACTGAGCAGTACTGATAAAGCTGTGGTAGACTGAGCAGTACTGATAAAGTAATGGTAGACTGATTAGTACTGATAAAGTAATGGTAGACTGATTAGTACTGATAAAGTAATGGTAGACTGAGCAGTACTGATAAAGTTATGGTAGACAGTGCAGTACTGATAAAGTTATGGTAGACAGTGCAGTACTGATAACATAATGGTAGACTGAGCAGTACTGATAAAGTAATGGTAGACTGAGCAGTACTGATAAAGTAATGGTAGACTGAGCAGTACTGATAAAGCTGTGGTAGACTGAGCAGTACTGATAAAGTAAAGGTAGACTGATTAGTACTGATAAAGTAATGGTAGACTGAGCAGTACTGATAAAGTAATGGTAGACTGAGCAGTACTGATAAAGTAATGGTAGACTGAGCAGTACTGATAAAGCTATGGTAGACTGATTAGTACTGATAAAGTAATGGTAGACTGAGCAGTACTGATAAAGCTGTGGTAGACTGAGCAGTACTGATAAAGCTATGGTAGACTGATCAGTACTGATAAAGTAATGGTAGACTGAGCAGTACTGATAAAGTAATGGTAGACTGAGCAGTACTGATAAAGCTGTGGTAGACTGAGCAGTACTGATAAAGTAATGGTAGACTGAGCAGTACTGATAAAGTAATGGTAGACTGAGCAGTACTGATAAAGCTATGGTAGACTGAGCAGTACTGATAAAGCTATGGTAGACTGAGCAGTACTGATAAAGTAATGGTAGACTGAGCAGTACTGATAAAGTAAAGGTAGACAGTAATTGTAGACATATCCATTGTCAGAAGCATTATCTCTTTTATTATCCATTACAGGAGGCTTTAAGACTGTTCCCTTCTGTGCCGTTCTTTGGTAGAAAGTTAACAGAGGACTGTCAATTTGGTGAGAGAATTTTTATAGACCTATATTTACACTGTATATTGTGCTCTTATTCAATATTTGGTGCAAAATGTAGGTCATGTGTGACTTGTTATAATTATTGATTTATAGTTAATCAGTGTTATGAATAAACAATTATGATTGCAACAGATTATAAATCCTGCTTAAATAATTACATTAAGGAGTGTAACGTCTATTCATTTAGATTGTACATTTGAACATGTGTGAATTTTTTCCTTCAAATTTTGAAAAATGCAAAAATTTGATTCCTTAATAATAATTAAAAAATAATGCCATTTCACCACTTTGAACAGCTTTGCAAAATTTGCCTTTGAATATGAAAAAAAAAAAACACACACAAAAGTTTTATGGTATGATAGCATTTAATTGATTACAATGTATTTAGATGAATACAAAATTCCCAAGGGTACGACAGTGATCATTACACCGCCCGGGTTACACAGAGACACACGATACTTCCCTGACCCAGAGAAATTTGATCCTGACCGATTTTCACCAGAAAACAGTCTCAAACGACATCCCTATTCCTATGTCCCTTTTTCAGCTGGACCCAGGAACTGCATTGGTAGGTTGGATTGAAACAAATGAAAGTTCATTTCTCTTAGCTATATTTTTTCATGAGGCAAGCATTCCTGGAAAATACTTTTACTTTGTGTTATCAGTACTTAAAAGGTCATTGAGAAGATAAATGCTGGAATTTAAAATTGTTTCAATCTGTTATTACAGAGTACAATAAAACAGGTTTTTTTTCCAATTATTAGGCCAAATAATAAAATATGTGTGGTTCCGGTTACCCGACCGTCCCTATTTTATACCCCCGACCCTAAACTTTTTTTTGGCAATTTTCAAATTTCTGGAATTTCCCCCGATTTCCCTCATTGGCTCTGGTATTAGTTTTGGTTTCAGCAATGGTGGCTTCTTTGACAACATCGTTTCAACACACAGTACAAGTGTTTTGTCAGTTACAGATGTCACCACTTGAAAGAAAGCAATAGTATTATCTCACCAATTATCACCAATAGTTAATTCAAGAACATTCAATGATATTTTTGACGTTTAAAAAAAAAAAAAAAAAAAAAAAACCTACCTACCTACCCTAATTTGTTTGGAGGTGTAACCGGAACCACACATATTTTTTTATTTGGCCTTATGTACATTTCTGTATTTCCGGGCCTTAAGACCATAAACTGAGTACAGTCTTAAGTTAAAATTTCAAATTGATATAACTTTTGAAATAAATTTGATAATCAAACAAAATTTTTTATCTTGTACTAGTACTTGAATATTATACAAACCTGCTATTTTTAAAATGCATATATGAAACTAAAATCCAAATATTCAAAATCAAAATTTTTACTGAAGTCTGTTCTCAATTTATGGTCTGAGGCCAGATATTTGATTTTTCATTTGTGGATGCTGTACAATGTTTTCTTATCTCTGCATATTTAAATACCAGTATTTCTAATTTGTATAAAGGCCAGAAATTTGCCCTCCTGGAAGAGAAAGTGATGCTTTCCAACATCTTCAGAAAATTCAGTGTTACCTCCAAACAGACCAGAGAGGAGCTGCTTCCCATTGGAGACCTCATAATGAGGCCAGAACATGGGATCTTTGTGGAAATACGCCCCCGCCAAAAGTAACAATCCATGACATACTGTGATAGCTTGAATCAAAGTATCAATTTCTATAA